TTTTAAGCTATTTATAAACATTTTAAAATTTTGACTTATTTTAGTTTTATTCAAATTTACTCAGAACAACAATTTGTTCATGAATAAAAATGCTTAAAAATGCAATAATACAATGTCATCCTTATTAGTTGTTCTCGCAATAACTAGAAATAGGTATAGAGAATACAAAATAATTTTTATACAAGTTTTTTAAGTAAATATTTTTAAGAAATTAGATATTCAAACTAAAAGTAATGATTTTTTAGTAAGCAAGTATAACAAAAAATAATATTCGTTGGGACTTTCGTCACTACGTATATTATTGTTTGTTTGCTAAATTTATTTTTGTTCACAAACATAATGAAATAATTTAATTACTATATTTGGATTAGTTTTTAAATAGTCACCTATAGTAGGTAGGTACCTACCACGAACCTATTTATGCCGTTTTAAGGTGTCTATACGTCGGCATTGACTTTAGTAATTAATAGCTAAATATATACTTAAGTTGAATCTTGAATCCTACAAGGCTATGAAATACAATTATAATTATTTAATGTTTGTGATTTGTTTTTGGCAAAATTCAGTTCAACTCATCGCGTATTCTTCTTCTAGTCTTCTACAGTTTCAATGTAATGTTTCTGTTTCTATGCTCAATTATCGCTGGCCTTCGTCTTCAATTTTAGATGTGAATTACATTCTTGGTTTTCTATAATCCGATCATGTATTGTAATCGTGGTGTATCTCATTGGTTTATCTTATCAACCATGTCTTCCAAGACTAGTCCTACTCCTACTAGCAAGTAGCAACTCTTCGTGCCAACCGAATGATTGGCGATGCGAGTTAATGACACATTTACGATTTTACGATTTGGATGAGGCCATTCCTACATCCTACGTTTTTATTGTGAATGCTAATATTGTGGTATGAATAAAATAATTTTTAGGTTGATCCTTGACAACTCCGCAATAAAACATTTTTTTTTAGTAATCTACTATTTTAATATTTCTTATTCTATTGATTACTTTACAGTTAATTACTTATGTTAGGGTGTATGTAAAATAAAATTAAAAGTAAAATAAGTTATTTTGACTCAAGAAGTAGTACCTAGTCTATCTATACATATTTTTTGTAATGATAAATACTTAACTGCATGACATAGGCACCCGCATGTTTGAAATTTAGCTCAAAAAGTACTCACAAAATACAGTGCATAATGCATATATATAATGCATTTACCGTTCTGACTATAGGTACCAACTAATTTGTAAAATTCTCTGAATACTATGGAACACGAAATTAATAACTTATATTTTATGTATTAATTTTGATTGTATTGGTTTGGTATATTTTAAGCTATTCAAGAAAATTTTTAATTTCCGATGGATATTCAATAATCAGCAGAGCCACTTTCCCAGCTTTATAAAATACAATTATCCTGCTATCATCGGGGACCGGAAAGACGACGACCGCGACGACGCGCGGCGTTTGTATTATTTGATCCCTCGTAATATTTTATGCATTTTACTCTCAGAAATAAAATATGTGCCTACTATACACGTCTTGGGTAGCGTATTTTTCATGAAATTAAATATTTATTTGAAGCATAAAAAGTCAATTAAAGCCCCCAAAAAATATGAAATCAAACTTAATTACTTTAAACATCGGCGCTTCAGGCTTCGGCGGAATCCTTGATATTGCGTGTGCACTGCGGAGAAAATCAGATACCTACAACTGAACTTAAGTCTGAAAATATTTTGATTTATTAGGAAAAAAAACCATATTCTTTCATGCTTTGCTAACTGAAATTTTAGAATCTAATCGATCGCGTCTTTGCAACTACTTCGACAATCGCCATACGGATTGTATTTTAATTTTAACTACGTAAATATGATAAAACCAGAGACTTATATTATGATACAAATGTTTAGATCAAAGAAGTCCGTGTTTGCGATTTGATCGTTGAGTTAATGAAACGTGATATAAACCAGCCAAAATAGTTTGTAATTTTTAAAATTTAAATTACTACAATATATAAAGTACCTATTATTTTTATATGTTTATTTGATTATTAAGATGGTGTTTAAATATAAGAAACACAAGCATATTTTTTTAATAGAATTTTTTATTAAATAAAAATCGTATTATAAATAAATGTGATTACTCCTTTTTATATTTAACATAGAGGTATACATTGCGTTATGCATATACTTAAGGCATTTACCGTACCAACTATACCAACTAGTTGTAAAATTCCAAGTTAAATATTTTCTCTGAATACTATCGAGCACGAAATTAATAATTAGCTAATACTGTATGTACATTAACTTTGATTGTATCATCATCGGTTAGGTATATTTTAAGCTATCCAAGAAAATTTAAAATTTAAAATTTCTTTATTTAATTTCTGATGAATATTCAATAATCAGCAGAGCTACTTTCCCAGCTTTATAAAATAATTTAATGTGTAAATATTAATATTTGATAAATATTATGGCGTCTCTTTAATTCCGCGGTTCGTTCACAAGCAGACGTCATATAGTAATATTCATAATTTTTTTTCATTATTCATTCGTTATTCAATCCGTTCAAGTCACCCCACCTCTTAGAACTTTTCGCCAGACCTTAAGCTTTTTGTGGTGGAGGGGGTAGAGTTTAAATATTATAATGTAACTATAAACATTTATATATACTAAAAATAAAAATTGTTGAATTTTACGGGATATAAAAACTCTCGTGTGCTGTACTACATCTGTATGTACAACACTATTAATACCTATTTAGTTGTATAAATATATTATTATTCTGCGACCTGGATGTGCCGTCGTCTTTTATTCTAGCGTATTTTTTGTGTTGTGCGCTCTGAAATAAAAAATATGTTCCTACGTCATTGTCACCCGGCAACAAAATGTGTGTGGCAATACATTTAAATTTTAAGACTAAAAAGTAAAATATGTAAGCCCCAAAAGAATAGGTAGTTAAACTTACGTATAGGACATGTACATCGAATCGTCGGCTTTAATATTATACTGTGTCATATTATCATCAAGTTATTGAGTTATTGAGTTCAGACACCAATATATCCAGGAACTGTTTTGTTCATGAGGTTTCAGTCTGAGACAAAATATTATTCGTAGTATTTAAATCTATATGCAATTTATAAAACGGAACTCTGCATATAGGCTATTTAGCTACACTACTGTCACGGATTTTATTTTATTTTATCTGTGATGTGACTCTTGTTGTCGGTGAACTAAGCAAGCACATCACACAGTTCTTAAAGGCTAAATTAGTCGTAATCAATATTCAATACCCCTCCAAGGTCACTCAGACATTTTCTAAAAAGTACAAAAAATAACGCAGAAAACATGAGTATTATATATACAATATAATATTATAATACATTTTTTATTTTGCTTATTGTTTTTAACACCATTCAGATCACAGATCGACTTTATTAATTGATATAATGTATTCTGGTATTCATAATAGATAATTTATTAATTTGCGAAGAAAATCGGGGCTCAGTTTTGGCGTGCGGACCACATGCTTTCTATTAAACGAATCAATATTTTATCATATTAGAAATACCATGTTCCGTACAAATTATATGAAATGTTTCTTTTCTGTGTCTGGTCCAAACGCAATGTATGTATGATGTATGAATAATAGTATTACATATCGATGTGATTAATATAATGTATATTATTATAATACGAGTATATTATGTATATTTGCGAAGAAACTAGAAAGGCGGGAGCTTAGTTTTAGTGTGCGCCACGTGTTTTCTGTTGAACGAATTAAATATTTACACCAACAAATAACATTTTCGCTATAAACTTTCTTAATTTGTTTTCATTGGCTTTATCATGGGAAGAAACATTACGGTCATTGGTAAATTCGGTACAATGCACCTGTGTACCGTGGTGGCCGGAAACGTGGTAAGTAAGTACACATTATTAGTTTATGATACGATTAATATAAAAGTGGAAACAATTAAAAGTGTAAATTGCCTTTCAAAATGTTATAACCGTAAAGGAAGTGTCCATTTATTGAGAAACTGCTGTAAGTGTGTACTTAACATTTTTCTTATAGTTAGAGCAGTGGACGCAACAGGTAGTTGCAGTAAAATGAAAACCGTTGTATACAGGCTGGGCGAAGTCCGGGGTACTATGGCGGCCATCCACGCCAGTTTTCGTGTCGTCTACTATTTTTTTTATAATGTGTATAGACTATTATTGACCGCCTAACCAGTGATGCCTAACCTTTTATCCTTAGTTGGCCACCAAATATAAAATTACAAATAATCTCAATCTAGGGCTAGGTTCACATGAGCGCGCGTCCAATGGTTAATGATAACAACAATCTAATAAAATAATTTTGTTATACTTAGTAGGTATACAATATATACATGTAGGTAGATATTGGACTTCGTTTTATTATCTTTTATTGACTATTGAAAGGATTACAAATTTAGGTTAGGTAAAAATTATTTTAGAATATAATAATTATTTTATTTTAAAAATGTATAACGGCCCACATAGAATACATTCGCGGGTCGGATCCCACTGGTTTAAACTCCATAATAAACCCAACGGACTACGAAACACTCGTGATAGAGTTCATCCAGGGTTTGACTCACGATTTAAGATAGTATGGTTGCCCGACGACCTATGATAAGATCGTTTTAAACTGGAAACCAAATTAAATAACCAGAACAGCTGGAAAATTGACCACTAGCGCTTGCGACATGATGTGTGCCAATATAGAAGCAGAATTTACGAGCTTATTATTTTTTCCCGCGCTTTACTAATATCAAATATGTACCTATTACCACAGTTATACAGAATAAATCTATTATGTGATATTATTCTCAATTCTCATAGATCCCTATAAAAACCACGATTTAAATAATGATAAATATTCCACTATACAATTATAATAACTATCTATTATCTTAGTAAATAGATTTATCGTCCATGATAAATACAAATTTACATCTTGACAAGATATAACAAAAATGTTATTATTCATAAAGTTTTAATATATTATGCTTAATTTTGTTGAAATTATTTAATTGTTTGTCGTGTTGTAATGTCGTGTTGTATACCTAATTGTCCTTCACATGACAAATATGCAAAGATTAGTTCCTTCAAAGTTCCATTGAATATTGTCTTACGGTCTGAATGGGAAAATGTCTTGGGTATTCCTTTAAGTAATAATTCTCGTGTTTGTCGTAACCATTTTAAGACACATGATGTAATAGACACATGGGAATCTGGAAATGGAATAAATAAATACACGGTTAGTACCATTACTTATAAATATATGTATAGTATATTTATGAACTGATACAACTATAGGTAAAAATATAACAGCAATATAATATATTTGTAGGTGTGTCTAAAAAGACCTAGACTTAGAGATGGAGCTATTCCAGTGAATTTATATATTGTTAACAATAATGAGTCGAATATTTTGGTAAGAATTTATAACTAAATAACGTTATGATAAGTTAAATAATAATATAACAACATAAACTCTAAGCATTTTTGTACCTAGTACCTAAACCTAACTAATTTATACAATATTTTATTTAAGAATGAAAAAATAAATAATATACAAGAATGCCCAAACTCTGAATATACTGTGGATACCAAAGATATAATATCTATAAATAAAGATCATTGTTATATATCAAAAGGTTCAGATTCTGATACACTTAATAAATCTCCATTGCCCAAGCGTAAAAAGGTTATAAGTATAAAATTTAAAACACAGTGTATATCAACATTAATGTGTCTGGTGTCATATTATTATTATTATACATAATATGACTATATTATAACAATAGTACCTATGTACTTTTTTAAAACCTTTATATCTCCTATTTTTATAATTATTATTTATTTTTGCATAAAAGGTAGAACAAATTACTTTATTTCAATCTGTTATGAGTAATATGAAGTTATTAAATATACCAGTAAAATGGTTCTATGATACTGATCATACTGAAGTTGGTTTAAAAAATAAAGTTAGCAAGATGGTCATTTCATTTCATAAATTGGTATCGTGTAAAAAAATTTTAAACAGATACATAGAAAAACAAATTATTTTAACCGAGGGTAATTAATAATTATAAAAATATAATATGTCAAAATAAAATATCCATTAATGGTATAATATTGCATAATAATTGTTTGTACATTCAGACTCAGAAATGTTTGTCTATGTTTTTGAAAAAAAATTGGAGGTATCAGATATTGCAGCTAGTTCTTTGAATAAAATAGACACATACAGCGACTTGGAAAAATTTATTAAACTCTTTGATATTATGCCAATGTGTCAAGGTGCGGTGCCATTGTTCCAAAATAGGGATTTAAAATTATCATCCAGTCCAGTTGAATCAAGTGGCATGTGGTGGCATTGACTGGCATTCAAAATGTTGTACAATACTTCCTAAAGAAAACAGTAGTGATAAGTAAAACTAAAAATATTATATGTTTTGTGGTAAGAATAAAACATATTTTTTTTTAATTTCAACATTTTAATAGTTATTTGATTTATTATTTACAAAATACTAAAGCATAGAAAGAGATTAAAGTATTTTAATTTATATTTATCAAAATTGTTATTAATTACTTACATACTTCTAAGTTCTAAGTCATTCGTTATAATTTTAATCGTAAATCACGAAGAAAATTTGAAATACTAAACAGGCAAACAGCGCGCCAGTGCGCCACTCGCCAGTCGCCACTCTGCACGGTATTTGAGCTTATAAACTATAGCCGCTGTTACATTCAAGCGCTAGTGGTTAATTTTCCAGCTGTTTTTAATAGTGATTTCAGTAAACACTTTATCATGATTCGTTGGGCAACCATACTATCTTAAATCGTGGGTTTGACTAAACTATTATGTGTATCCAAGGCAGTGTTGCCAGGTTAAACATGTTGAATGTTCAGACAATTATCATAAATTGTTCGTATTTGTTCGTATCTCAATACAATTTTTTTTATCAATAATTATCATGTTCTGATAAGCCTTATCAGATAAGGCAATTAATTTTTCGCTTAATTTTGAAGGTTTAACATCAAAATATATCAATACAAGTATTATTATTTATTTTTATGTAGTATAGACTCTATAGAGTAAAATAGTAAAATAACTTTATTATTATATTATACTATATAGTCAATCACAATAATAATATAAATAATAAAACAGCCTACTGCCTACTATTAAATTATTAATTATTAATAATTTTTATAATTTGGAAATTCTGAGTTTTGACGTTAATGTCAAAAAATAGAAATATCAACAATATTGACATTGATTTGTATCTTGACAGTATTGTCAGTTTATAGTTTTGTCTCACCCGTCGGCCGTCACGCCCGTGGCCCGTATCGGGTTCTTAAATTCTTAATTCTTATCAAATACTGTATCACAGAATAGAAATTGAATTTCTTTATTTTCATTTATTTTATCTATTTTATGTGATAGCAGGTTGATATCTATAGTATTGTGATTTGTGGCCTCACCACAGTATTTATTCTTATCTAAAAAATTCAAAATTTTTCAAATTTAGATTTACACAAAATGTTCGTATTTAACCGTACGAACGTTCGTTTTATGTTATGTTCGTACACTAGTTGAAATGTTCGTATTAAAACGAACATGTTCGTACGCCTGGCAACACTGATCCAAGGTTATACCGAAATCAATCGGTAAATGTTCAAAATTCGGACATGTTGGATATTTTGTCCTATCTGTTGGTTATTCTAACCTTGGTCATGTTGACCTAGATTAATTTTGTAAGCCGTTTTTTACTAATAAATTCCGTTAATGTTAGCTTCACATTTATTTGGGTGGTTTTGATCAAACATAAAATACAGGCCTAAAATTTTATCCAATTATAACAACTATATTTTCTATAACTAATGGAAATTCTATAAAAAAAATACACAAAAATCGCTTGACAAAACTTAAGAGTTAAGACCCTATGTGAACTTCTCTTTAAAATGCAGAATTTGAAAAATTAACATTGAGATGTACATATGGTACATCCTCGGGTATACCTATGCGCCAAATTTTAGAACCATATGCTGGACTTGAATGTAGATAATTATATAAATACAGTAATAGCCATAGAATTGTTACAGTGTGTAGGTTTAACATTGCTCGACTGTCTGGCGCTATGTATAGGCAATTCGGCTACATTGCTGCGTAGATCAAAATTATCATAATTTATAATATATTTATAGGCTATAAAATATACCCTTCAATATTTAAATATACCTATAACATATACCCTTGGATATAAAAAAATAAATATGCATAAATAAATAAATATGCCTATAATACTATCTGCCGGTGTAACCCGGTCTTAGTATAAGAATAAAAGTATGAGACCTTTGGTTGGGAATATACATTTATGGACATACCATCTAATTCCGCTCGTGCACTGTGTTGGTTGTTAGGCATAATATGAGATAAAGGTACATACAGACAAACAGACGGACGTTTCTATAATATATAGATATTATTAGTTTCCATGATAAAAGCTATTTCAAACTTCTACATTTTCCAATTTTTTAATTAATTTAAGTAATTAATATAATATATAAAGATATACTTACTATTTGAGTAATATCACTCAATGGTGAATAATAATGGTGTCAACATATGTTTAAATTTAAAAAAACAGGTACCAATAGCCATCAAGGCTAGATAGGTGATCGTTTTGAATTTGAACCCTCATCGCTAAGCCTAAAAACACAAGTATAAACATAGTGCGGAAAATATTAATATCAATAACTTCAGTGTCTAACGGATCACATTTATCATCCTCATCAACAATAGTATTAATTTAATTACATTTTTTTATTTGCCGTTGCCTATCTGATTTATTACTTTTAGATATTTAATTTAAGTCAGTTATAATGTGATTTTAGATGTCGTTGAATACACTAATCTAGAATCTGTCAGTTTTTTGTTTTTAGAAGTTTTAAAATAGAATGTATTGACAGGAATTTGTAAAACCGGAAGTGTTTTTGGGTGTTGTGAAGTGTTCTCCGGAACTCTACTGAGGGATGAAACTATGTTAAACAATTATGATTTTAATTTATAACTTGGAACAAGTACAATATTAAAATAATGTAGATACCTATCCTACGCACCTGGAAACTTGAATGCATTACTTCCGCCAGTACATGCATTTTTCCAGCATAAAACTATTACTCTTTCTAATAAGTTGAATGATATAATGCATCATGCATGGCTAAATATATGAAATTATAATGTATATTAATATATTATCTTAGTCTGTACTACTCCGTAGTCAGGCATGTCGATAGGGGGGGGGGGGGGAAAGGTAGGATTCCTCCCGGGCCCTAACGTTTTAAGGGGCCCGAAAAACAGGGAAAGTAATTAATTATTTAATTCGAAAATATTTTTTTTTGCTTATCTACAAACTTTAGCTGGTGGCATGTTAACCAAATGATAAAATAATATAAAATATGTGTACATATATTTAGTTTTCACTAAAAAGTAATTGGTGTAAAATTATTAATTGCTATCGTGTCATACGCGTCAATACTCTATATATGCTGTATTTACGGTTTTACCCAGCAAACTGACAACTGTACACGAACTAACCTAACGAAGTTACAACAATATTATTGAGACATTGCGATTTACGATAACATTATAACAACCAATATTAAGTATCGGATAGATAAGTGTATAATACACTGTATATCATATTATTATATCACAGACATCTTATGGTTGTTGGTGCGTTGGTGCGTTTATGATGTTTTTGATAAATTGATATACAAACTAAACAATATATTATTAATTAGTCACATTGTTACATAGTATTTATGACCAGGTCTAGGATTCGTATGCAATTAAAAATTGAAAAATATGCATTTTATTTACCAAAATAGGTAGGTACCTATGTACAGTGATTTTTTTCCCGTTATTATTTTTTTGTACAGAAATTCTTGTCCAACAATTTCAACTAGCTACTTTTTTAATTCGATAAGTTTGTTGCCATATCAAAGTTATTCAATTTTTGCACTAATTTAAAATAGGTACAGCCGAACATAATTTTTTCCGCATAATTGTTTCAATTTTCGTTACGTTCTTTTTTTGTTTTTTTGAAATTACTCTTAGAAAAATATTTTTAATATTTTAAATTTTTTATTCATTACTTGAAATTACCTTTTATTTTAATATTTTACTATAGAAAAGTCTTAGTGTCTTACCCATATAAATCTGGCTGTCAAAAGCGTAAAGAGCGTGTAGAACGGGAAGAAAAATTTTTAAAATCTCAAAAAGGTCAATCAACTCTAACTGCTTTCAAATTTTGTAAAATTATTTAAAAAGCAATTTAATTAAAAACCCTGGTAATATTGTTTACAAATTTGTGCTTTTACTTTGTTATTTAAAATAAAAAAGGTATAAATAATATAGGTAATATTGTTTACAAATTTGTGCTTTTACTTTGTTATTTAAAATAAAAAAGGTATAAATAATATAGGTAATATTGTTTACAAATTAGTGCTTTTACTGTGTTATTTAAAATAGAAAAGGTATAAATATTTGAAATTTATTTGGTCTTGGTAGGGTGTTTGTAGCTCCTGGAACCACCACTAATAGGGGCCCTTAAACATTTTCCTCCCTGGCCTGAACTTTTCTCTCTACGGCCCTGTCCGTAGTGCTACCGCCTACCGTACAATAATAAATTCACCATTTAATAATTTAGAATAATATCTCCACCAGAGCGCGCTGACTACCCTCCAAGGAGTCAAACAATTTGCAATAGGCATCACACATTAGGGTACTACCCACACAATTACGCAAATTAAAACAGGTAAAACAATATTGATAAATATTTGAGCAGCTTTAAATTTTTTAAACTTATTTTTTAAAATTTTGTTTATACTTATATACTAATATTATATCACTTGCACAATTCTCGAAAAAAACATTGTCATTATGGAACTGAGCCCCTGAGGTGTACTACAGTCGTCTAGATTTGTACGTTTTTGTATACCTACCTAATCAGTAATTTGTGTACCTATATATAATAATATAAATCATTCACTTATAAACAATGCAGATGTGCTTAGTAGTTTTGTGATGAAATATAATTTTTACGGGCAGTGTAAATATTGAAATTAATTTAACAATAAAATATACACATTATAATGTTATATTTCTGATTTCTTTATGCTTATCGCCATGTGGGTTTCGATGTCGTCACGTCTAATTCTTCAGTCAATAGAATCGACATTACATTATATATATTTATGTGTTGACCGTCATGTTAGGCTTCACTAGAAAACCACTGTTAAAATGTATACACATGCACTTGTATTTTTGTGGTTGCTTTTGATATGATACAGGATCTCTAATTTAGAAGACGAGAAGTGCAATGAGTGCTTCTTCAGTGATGTTATTTTCACATATAATGTAGGAATATACATTTAATTATAACGTATCGATGGATGGGCCCTTATTAGGCGCAATTAGCGTTTGAGATTTGAGGGGGCTGAAGGCCTATTATAATAATATTGAATGCGTTTAAAAACAATTTAGGATATGTTTAGGGGAATATAGAAATTTTTGAGGAGCTTAGTCCAAAAATCCCCCCCTATTTTCGCCTATAGAGGGGCCCCTGTTCCCAAATTTGTGATTGTGGCACTCATTAATGATATATCAAAAAGAGGATCTTACACTCCCCCCCCCCCCATCATGGTCCCATCCTTGGGGTTTGGGCACTGAACACTGACATTATTAACTACTAGGTAATCAATTTAATAATGACATAGTAAACAATAACTTGTGAAACTTGAATGATTTATTTTTATTAGGCACTGAATGATTGTACGTACCTATTGTTATTACTTATTACATAAGTAGAAAAATATAATACAGCATCACTATAGGTTTTTCAATTTATAAACATTAGCGAAGCTCATAATATTATATTATATTGTAATCGTATGTGTGTGCCTAAATGACATGATACATTTGTCAATTTTAAAAAAGTTATTAGTCATTTACCATAGCTGGTACGCTCATTAGTCATAACTAAATCTCAAAAACGTTTGTTATCGTTGGTAACCTACTTTATACATTCAAATCGAAAATCACTGTTGTTATACAATGCCATTTTGAAGAACTACAGTTTTTCCTTTTTAGTAATTGTAACTAAATTTGATTTTTGATTTTTCTAGTATACATGCAATGTTTGTGAAATACTGAAATCTAAATAATTATGGAGTTGGTTAATTTGTTACTTTTCTAAGAACCTGTCAACTGAAATTATTTCTAAGCTTATAAGATCATTAAATTTCATGAGGTCAATAATATATTTTTGAAACCTACTTAATCAGTAAATACTAAACAGTTTAAAATTTAATTTACAGGTATATACGCATATTGAATACGAGTGAATACAATCTATCTCGTCACCATGAGCGTACACTTCAACAGCGTAATTTAAAATATAGAATATTTAAATCATAATAGATTATGGATTTACATAGATACCTGTAACTATATATGTATATTATGATATCAACATATAATACGTCGTAACGCACTAATGCCGTATATAATTGTACAAATGAGTGTTTCAACGCATGTCGTCATAATACGTATTACCAAAACAATTTTTGTATTTACGATACAACGTACAGGTCAGTGAGATTTATATTATCAGTGTAAGCTTTAAGACTAATTACTGTCTTTTGCAGCTCGGAAATATAATATTTCCACCGTAGTATTGGACAAATCTACCTCATCGGGTACCTTCGATAATAAATTGGTATTCGACTTTTTTTATTTTCCCTGCGACCTACTACACATTCACTGTGCGATTTCTCATTACAAGTCGTCGGATGTTTTCAATTTGAGCTGCAAGAGCGATCAAACAATACGATTGGGTCTCGAGAGAGCAACCAAAATACCTAAATAAAAAATACTTACTCCTGATGTTATTTTATTTTTTTCATAATATTCCAATGCCGTTTATCCAGACAGGTCTATTTAATATTATTAAAAATGAAGCTTAATATATTTTGTTTATGTTAATACTTAATTTAAATAAACAATTTAGGGGTTAAATGTTCAATATGTATATCAGGATGCTGAGGAAAATGCAAAACGTGTGGGGATAAATGCTATAAATTATTTAGATTTCTTTATACAGTGTTTTTTTAAAATTTATGTTGATTCACATTAGAATTGAGAAACAATTTAACACAGTTAATCCCTATAGTTACAAATTTCCAAACCACATAGATTTATATTCGCGTGGAAACTATAATAATGTCTATAGTATAAAAGGTGGTCACTGGTCAGGGTTAAAATTCAAGTAAGCCTACGTCATGTTTTTATTTTTCAACCTAACATAATATAGACATAATGATAATAATAATATAATATAAGTTATACACTGAAATCGGATACAATATTATTGTCGAGAGGTAGGGCTATGGGGCTAACAACTTAAAATGCAACAAAAAAAATTGTGTCACCTCGATACTGTCATTAAAATGTCTTTATAGATAATGAAGAAAATTTTACAAAATTATTTAGGTTTTTTAGAGTGGAGAGATGAATGTATTTATTTTACAGCAACGTATGTTATCACTTTTCCGATTAGAAAATATGCTTGGATTTTCAACTTTGAGAGTGGTTTCTGGTGGAAAATTGGATTTAGTTACTACTTACTACTATCAAAAGTAAATAATTCCAAGTATTTCTCAAGCTTAATTGGGAAAAATAATAAAATAACAAAGATAAAACGGGAATTTTTATTACGCAAAAACAATTTTTTTTTGGCGGAACTCAAAAACGAATTACTAGACATTTTTACCAAATGTTTATAGTAGTATTTTCCATACGTGATAATTTTCGAATTTTTTTTTTTTTTTGAGTTATATAAAGACATTTGACTGTTTATTCCCGTTGCGTCCGTCCGTTCGTACTTTAGTTAGTTATACATTATAATAGTACATATAGTTATATACGATTGCTGATATTAAGATAGGATTTAGAATTAAATAAAAATTTGAATATTTAATATAGATTCATACTAGCCAATATTAAAAATCGGTATCAAAATCTAAAATACTAATATAAAATAAGAAAATTATTGTATATTATTATAATTATTAAATTATTATAGTATAATAGCATATTATCTTTAAATTGTACATGTATGGAAATATGGAATTATAGCTTATTAAATATACTTAGAAACCGGGAATTTAGCACGCTTTCCGAGTGACTTTTTCTCAACTTGTATATTTCTATAATATTGATATGTATGTATGATTTTTTTAATTTTTGTATGACCATAAAAAAATTCAAGTACGGTACAAATGTCGATACATTTTTTTTCGAAACATATCAAGAAGACACGTGCAAAATATTATTTGATAAGCATTTCAAGTTCAAATTGTCCGTCTCACTCGCTTAGAATTGTTTTTACGGATACATTAATAAATAATGATTTATTGAATTCAAACCAACTAGGTATATGCAGTAAAAGTTGCGAGCTCGCTGGTTGTTCAAAAAGTATTTTTTAAATAATACCTGTCGGTTGGTATTCAGTACTGTTCACAAAACACTTCAGGGAAAATAAGGTAATTTTTTCAGTAAAAATATTTAACAATATTACAAGAAAATAATATTCTATACCTAATATTATGTACTATGTATTATGCATAGGTGTATATTATAGTACTAGATACTATGTTATAGGTATGCAATATGCATAGTTATTTAGTAGAGATATTTTGAAAATATTTATGAAGGAAATTATAATGTATTACAATTGTTATTATTTATTATTCGTTTTTAGGTGGGCTCGAAAGGCTTTTGACGGGGCCCCCCAAGCCACCCCCCTTTTGCGATTTCCGCCAATGAATAATATACAACATAGGAGCTCGTGGCAATGGCCGGCTCTATATATACAACTTATATAAATCACTATATCATATTGAATTAGGTACATGTTTTATTATTTCAATTTATGCTATCTGACGGATTATAGCCGATATTATTACGGATTATTTAATTAATTGTTAAAATGAAAACAATAATCGCGCACGGAGTTTAAAGTTTAATCGCCGCACACACGTAGTATATTAAAATATTACATGTCATAGGTATACGCGCCGGCGCGACTTGGCGAAAACCCTACCACCCATAAATGCGCCCCTGCTGCGATCGTGTTTGTGATGTAGTACGCGGTCATATTATATGAATGACGTCACCCGATGACGTAATCCCCGTGACTCGTTGTCGTATTATACATATTATGTACACACGATATTTTTTCTTACCGACTACTCCAACACCGTGTTGTTGATAATACTAAATAATAAAATATAATATATACATATACATTTACATTATAAGCATATAATATACGATACATAATAATATTGTCGGGAGTAGTCATTTTTTACGTGCGATATTCTACTTACGCATTTGTACATTTTTTTTAAAATGTCTTTTTATAATATTTATAATATAACGGTATAGGTACATTAGGTATATCGTATTTTATTATCTAAGACATGCATACATATACGTATAGTAAGCGTGCATTTGCAGCAGACGTTTGAGTACACGTCTATATAGGCATATTTCTAACACATATCACAGATATAATATAATGTTATATACCTCGTCGCCAGCAGTCGATAATTGTGTTGTATACAATGCTATAAATTATGTACCTATATTTATAGTTATTGCTTTTTAGTTAGGACATTAAAAGTGATAAAACCGATGCAACGTTTTGTACATTTGTTTAGTTATAATAATTAAGAATTGATTTTTTACCTATTTATATAATTGCGGTAGTCTACAGAAAATATATGGACGCGGACAATTATTTTGGTACAGTATATTATGTGATAAATATTTGACAATAAAAAACATGTCGCCAACGGCTTAGCTCACGATTGTCCTATATAATAATATTATGACTTACTTTTGAGTGGCAAACGAATTGCCATTACGCCACTTAAAAATGCCAAATAAAAAACGCAGTACCCGATCTAATAAGTTTGATATTATTATTTATTATAGTCTTCCCGAAACAATCTGCACGTCTGTTAACCGTTTAATATAGTATGTAGGTAGGTAAAACTCCTGATAAAAATTCAGTTTTCTAAACAGGCTATCATTGATAATTTACTTTGATAATGTAATACAATGTCGCAGGTTATGTCTATTAATTTATTATATCTAATATGTTCGGAAACTGCAGCAGATTTATGTTTATATTGTTGATACCAATTGTCCAACTAGGTTTATCTACGAGTTTTAAATAAACGGGTCTTATAAATTTACGAACACTGTGATGTCATTTTTTTGTTTAACTGTTTCATATAGGGATAACATTGATCATAAATATTATTATACATAGTACCTGGTATATGAGATTATTGCAATTCAAAGTTATCTGCCATCGCCGAATATTTATGTCAACTTTCATGCCATATATAATACACCATAGTTCAAATTAGGGGAGCATAACCAAATTAAAAAGTTATATTTTTAAAAACTGTTTAACTTAACTAGTTGAATACGTACGTATATCCGTCATACCAACTTGATTGTTTCCAGTTAACTTCATAAATAGTATGTTAAGTTAAAATCAAATTTGTAAAAGTATAGGTACAAATTATATAATACTGAAGGCAGGTAAAACTTAAAACTGATGACTTAAGTATTTATTTGTTTATTTAATCACACCCTATGCAATTATTTTGAGTAAAAATAAAATTTACACATGTTATTAAAAACTATACGGAGTTAAATGAATATTAAAGCATAATATAACCAACCAATTTTGCTGACTAAAATAATTATTCAAAAATATTTAGGTATCTTGTATCTTGAGCCTCGAGGTCAACATTGATGTATCTTTAAAATCATGTATCTGTAGACTATAGATACTTTTTTCAAATTTGCCCATCTCTGCCACCCTTTTTTTGGTTTTTGTGGAAGAAGGTAGGGTTACCTATGATAACCTATATTAAAAATCTGAACGCATATTATTTTAATATTATTTCGCACCGTTTGTGTATACAATTATTGTTAATTCAACACTCAAACATTGTAGTGAATTATTATTTACTAATTAACTATACATTTGACACTAAACGTGTGTATACTTGTGACAAGTGTATTTATGTTAAGTCAAGTATGTTATTTATCTAAGTGTATACAATAATATATTTATTCATGGTTTCTTAAACCTATTTAAGCCATACACAATAAATTTAGTATACATGCATAACACCATATTTACGAACACGCATATTTGTGTAATTAGATACAGAAGTAATACATAATTTACATTTACCTGAATAAATATACAAACGTTCTATATAGGAATAAGTGGATACTGAAAGCACATGCACGTGTTGCAGTTTCATAGATTAATTCACATGATTTTACAAATTAAATTGTGATATTTTATTGAATTCTTTGAAAATGTTTCATTAAAATACCACGTATAGAAAAAATGAATTTCCACCAAATATTTTTGTAGTTACCACACGTCGTTATGTGGTTTGTATGTACCTTTATGTATTATAAGTAATAACTGTTAATAATTATATATTATGATAATATAATGACGTGTAAAAATAGTTTATTATGTAAACAGTACGACCTAATTTTTTTCCGGCGAATAATGAGCAAAAACTTTTTTTTTAAATAATTAAATATCAAAATCAAGACCAATTTAAGAATACCCAGATCATTCGTCATTTTTTTTTAAATATATATAAAATATAGATACGCGTAAATATAATACATTAGTTAGGTGGATACAGCGATACAGTTATATAAATGAAATTATAATTATATTTGTATTGCCAATTAGGTAGGATTATATTCTTAACAAAGTTAACATGAAACATAATATCTTAAGAGTTTTTGATGGTATATATATTTTATGTACCGCTACATTTCTGAAATTGATGCAGAATATTATATTAATTTAGTATTATCTGTGGTTTTTATTATGCGTAGTTTGTGTGTAGCTATATATAACCAGTATAAGTAATGGAAAATGATTGGAAACTATTGTTGATAAAAATGTTTTTTTAAATGTTCGTCACCGCATGCAAAACTAATGCAAAGTTGTAATACCTACATAAATATTATGCAATATATGTACTTACAATAAGACGAACACCTATATAAACTTTTTATTTGCTCTCATTATTTTATGTTTCCTTTGAACGTCACGGGAATAATAAATAAGAGGCCGCTGGTTATAGAACGGTGAGTCAAGCAATATATATGCTAGGGGTGTAAAAACCTTCGAGTGAGCTACAGGGTGTTTCGAGCATGGTCGCCCACTTTATCACTTTTAAATTCTTATGTATGGCATTTTTAGCTACTTATATTTTTAAATACTTAGTTTTTATGTTCAACTTAATAATGATGAGATTCAATAGTGATACAAAATTATTTATTTCAAGTAATAACAATACTCTTTTTTATTGAACATTTTTAGTGTACTTTTATTAATCAAAATTCGAACGGATATATTTCAGAGATATTAAGCTTTGGTAGGTACTTAGCATAATATAATAATAATAAGTTTAAATATATGAGTGATAAGTATCACCATTGATCATACGGCATATGGATATTTTAAATATATAGTAATTTATATTAATTTATTATATATTACAACAAGAAAAAATTGTCTGAGTATAGATAATAATATGTACAATATATATTACACATATTTTTTATCATTGTTAAGAACAATATTATAATAATATATTTAGCATACATGCAGTTTATTAAATCAGAAGCTAGTTCCAATTTCGATTAGATTTCTCGATATTTTCCAAAAAATTACTAACTTAATAATAGATAAATAAATAAAACAAATAAAGTGATTCTTATTTGAAAAAAGTTTGTACTACCACACTATTATACTTTAAAAATAATGGTATAAATATTCTAAGTATTTGAAAATATGGTCTTCTAGTGTAT